GGGTTGGGGACATCCAGAGCAGGGCCGGGTTTAGGAAGTGCTGGGCCCGATTCGTGGGGCTTGTGCTCACCAGGTGGCACTCCGAGTCTTTGGCGGCGGGTCCTTCACTCACTCCGGGTCTTCGGCAGCACTTCGGCGGCGGGTCCTTCACGTGCCGCCGAAGAGCTGGAGGGAGTGAAGGACCCACCGTCAAAGTGCTGCCAAAGACCCGGAGCGCCGCTGGGTGAGTAAAAATTAAAAAGGCCACTGGGCACGGGGCCCTGTTAGGCGTGGGGTGCGGGGTCCCCTTAGGCACGGGGCCCGATTCAGGAGAATCGGGGGAATCGGCCTAAAGCCGGCCCTGATCCAGACCTAAAAGCATGAGCTACTATAGATTGAGCTAAAGAACCAAGGCTTTGTAGGCACGGCAGGGCTCTAACAGACTCATCGCCTCTGCAAATGGGGCACAGAGTCTCTATAACACACAGTCACCAGTGGTTTGGATCTCTACTAAGGGACCAAATGCTGCCCTAAGTTACCTCCCTATGGCCACCCAGAAATCAACAGGTTCAACTAAGTGCTGAATGTAGCCCAAGATATTTCTCAACTTCAAATACAGAAGTTAACTTGGGGCTAATGTATGTTAACAATAATCAGATACAAATAAAATAGGACTCTTGACTCGATATTCGTCAGTATTATACACTATAGACGAGATTCTGAGTTCTGTTCTACTGGTGTAAACACAGATTAACTTCAGTGACCTCAGTCTATCTAACGCTTTTATAATATTTCCATCATGGTAGTATGATGGCACTATTTATAGAAGTGGAATTACTTTAGATTTACACTGGTGTAACTGAGACCAGAGTCTGGTCCTATGTTTTTCCCACTGATTCTGTAGATGAGAGAAGCTCGGTACTATTCTTAAATAGGGCCCTTTGAAATCCAGGATTAATTCCAATGTGGAAAGTGAGTGAGTGGAACAAAAAGTACTGTACACCTCTCCTTATCTTTCAGTGCCCGAGACAAG